AAATATTTTAAGAGTTTGTATTAATCCTTGAAAGGTGCTGAATCCAACAGCAACTGTCGGATGGGAAAAGCAGATCTAAGAACTGAGTGTTTGGGCCTCTGTAGGATCAATACTAATCTTGTTCAATACTCAGTGGAGAGACTATAATATGTATCTGCATCAACTTCCATTACATGTAAGAGAAATTTATAAATATCTTTCAAAAAAATCAGGCATTCATATTTCTCTCCAAGTTTTAACATTAATCTTTCAATTAGCTTCTTCAGCCTCTGTCTAGTTGTGGTGTACTCAGCTGAAATCTACACCAAATATCTAGCAATGCCATTTTTAAAAAATGCATTCAAAGTTTTTCCCAACACTGGAGTATTGGCATTGTCGTTAGACTTCGAAGCTTGACCAAAAGATCTTTTCTCAACGTGAGATTAAAATAACAAAGCTCCAAGCCTAAACTAGTGAACTAGTCTACAGAATGGAATAAAACCTCAAAGGGGATGTGGGAGTCGTTGACGGGAAAAGAAAAGCGCTCAAATGATTCAGTGAAAGGATTGCATTAAAAGTACAGTCTTGAAAAATGAGGGGCCAGAAACCAGAGTCTTGTTTTGTAGAGAAAAGGTGTATTTTTTCTTAGAACTGTCAAGGATTTTGAACAATGTTAGCCAGTTACCAGGATTTTCTTAAGTCACTACCAGTTTTAGCAGCACTATTTTTGAAACATGTTCTCTGAGACTCATTGAAAGAATTCAGTAGACATTTTCCCAATCAACAGTGCCTTTTTATTCATTAAATTTCAAAAGCTCAGTGGTTATACCTGAAAATTTCAATCAATACTTTCACTACCTTTTATCTTTGTACCTTTCGTTTCAGTTTCCAGTGTCTTCAACAGTCATCATGGCCATTTCTGGAGAGCAGTGCAGTGCGACCAAAGTCATCTCTGGAGACAGATCCTCCTCATTCTTTGTTGATCTAGCAAGTGCATCATGTGCCTTTGTAGAGCACAGAAGCCTCTGCACAGGGCTTTGGAGACAGCTCCTGTGGGCTGGACAGCCAGCCACAGAAAGGGTGTACCCACACAGTCCGGCTGTGGGGATCTACAGGTCAGCTTTCTTAAGAAAGCATGTGGAAATCTTGCAGTTTTTACACAATCCTATGCTAGTACATCTCACCCTACACACTCAGAGCACAGCTAAACTATGTCGTGACTGCTCCCAACTGCCCCACTATATGTCTAAAAGTTTTTTACATTAAACTCTTTGATACAACTTGTATGTAAAAGTTAACTTTTGCTAGTAGCTGTAAAAGATGCACTGCCAAAACTGATAGAAAGTGAGTTTCAAGAAGTTCTTGTTCACCATTAAGGAATATGTTTAGAAAAGACCTGAAATTATGATCTTATAGACTTCACTCCCTCTCAAGGTGCCCCAACATTTTTTACCACCTCTTTTCTTGTCCTGTACATAGGATGAGCCCTCTGAGACCATACAAGGCAATTCCACCTGTAATGAAGATTGGCTGGCAGTAACTTTCAATGTGGGCATAAAAATGAAATCCTAATTATTAGGCAATACTCTCATCAATAGCAATAACAGAAATAGCTTTTTACAACAGTAGAGAGAGAAATACACAAAATACAAGAAATATGAAATATAAAGAAAGAATCATAGCTTCCCACTTGAATTTATATAAGACTGTGTTTTCCTCTTGTGCATATTTAAATGTATTTTACAGAAAATCATTTAAAATTCTGTACACATGTTGCCCAGCTGAAGACTGAATACTATATTCCATGAGTAAATATGATGACACTGGGCTTTGCAAAGTCAGAAGGAAAGATTTAGCAGGGACCAGAGACCATTTTGCTGTTTTCCCAAAATTAACATTGTTTCTACTAGTGAACAGAGCACTAATTCTAGTCTACCACTTCAACTGCAAGGTCTTTGTGCTGCCACTGCCTTCTGCAAGGTTTCCTTCTTCCAGACTTATTCCACCTGGCAGAAATTCCAAGTTTTATTCAAAGAGAATGAAACAGAACTAACCAGACTTAAATCTGCTGGATGTGCAGAGGGAAGTGAAAGGAGTATTCAGAAAAGGATAAACTGAGGAAAAATAAAGCAAGAAGCAATGGCAGAAACAGATGAGTAAGAAAATGATACTTTCTTCATGTGCAGCACTGCTCATCATTGAGTAACAACATCCTATTATTGCTCTTGCTTCCCTGCACTTACTTCCACCAGTGTCCATCTCCATCCCCACTGCACACTATTCATCTTGAAACTCCTTTGCAATATTGCCCAGAAGCTTAACTTTCAGAATGTGCCAAGCAGAAGATACTGACATTACAAATACACACTGAACTAACACACTCACATGTATAGCTTATCTCTCTCTAAAAATATAATTAGACCAAAATTTTTCCAAATATTTTCATACTGCCAGGCTGGCAATGTTTTGTATAAATCCTTCTTCAGGTCTGAAATAAAAACTGTAACTTGTGAACTACAAATTAGTCGAGAACAATTGTTTTGACATTAGTTTGATATTGTTCATCAACAATTAGAGACAAGGCAGCTCTAAGTGTCAAACGGGTGGATGCCAGAAGGGTGAATGTGGTGAAGCACCTCCTCTAGTTAGTCATAGAAGAGCAGTGTCTCTACCTCCATAAGGAGGTAACCATGAACACCTACCAACCAAGTCTCAGATACAACTCAAGATTGGCCAAATTCTACTGTCTTCATCGAAGTCATCAATAGGACACCCCTTAATAGAAGCCAGCATCCTCTTCTACTGCAAAACAAAGTACAAAGTCAAACAGCACTACCTTTTTTTTCCTATTATGAATTATCTAAATCAAATGCACACATATTTCCAAATGATAGAATTACTGAAGAACTGGTAGCAGGACACATCATCAGGTTGTGCATCCTTGTTCCATTCCAACCTTTCCTCAGCAAGAAGCACTATTTCAACATTACAGGTTAATCTTTTTCAACTCTCTTCTCTCACCCCTATCTGAACTTCAGAGAAAAAAAAATCTTGCAGGAACAACTGTCTCTCAGATACTTCACTGATTTGCATGAACCTTGCCACATTTAGTACCAGTATACGTTCCTTAAATCTTTAATATAATATTTTTTTGATTAAATACTGAATCATTTAACAACTATAGCGAAATTAAGAGCTGTTTCAGAGGAGACATCCATTACATCAACTGCAACAGAAACGATGTAAGCCATGAAAGCCTATTGGTGGTACTGACCACTGTGATTGTTGCTATTTTGAGCACTGCTTACCATTAATGATGATCTAAACCTTGCACCAAAACTGCTATTTTACTTGAATTTAGCCTTCATATGCAGTAAGGATATAGTGAAGACTACAAATCATCATCACAGCTAAACACATAGCAAGGTGACAGTTCAAATGTTACAGATCCCTGCAATTTCTGAGTAGTAGTAGTAGTGCAACTTTGCAGTGCACTAGAAAAGAAACTGTCAGTCAACCAAAGCTCAAAAAAAAATAAGGCATGTCATGGACAACAGACAGAAGTTGCAATGAAATATGCCAGGAATTGTATTCATTCTTTTTGTTGTCTGTATTCTCAGATGCAGCAACAATAAAAGGTGTGGAATATAATTCTAAACATAAATTGAGGTGGTGAAGCCACAATAAATGACTGAGACAAAATGTTTTTAAGATATAGAACTGAGTTCAAATTTATTCATACCTCACCATAAGCTTCCCTCTCACAGAAGTGATTCAACTTTCCTCTCCTGTGTCTCTCAGGTGGATGCTGAAGCATACAAGCAAAAGCAGATTTGTTACTGTTAAACTGATCCTTTCCTGCCATCTAGGGGACACAAACTGGTGTGCAGAGGACTGTCTTCAGTTACATACAGGGAAACTTTCTACACAACTTTCTACCCAGCAAAACAAAAATCAACTTAATTGAAGAGTAACACACCTACCAAGAAACAACCCTAACTGATGAATAGCACAACTATTTTATTAGAGACAATACTTGTAAGAGTTTGATTCTGGTATAATCCTAAAATTTTCTACAGTAAATTTCAGTTAAATGACCAGCAAAAATATTGAGATGGTAATTTAAGCCTCACTTTTATGACATACACCCATGTCTTCTGAGCTACACAGCCATGAGAAAAGCCTTTTGATTTTCCTTGATCCCTCAAGACAGCAAGATGTGTGATGCTATAAGCAGTGTGTCACTGTCAACAGCCAATAGAGAAAGAAAAAGGATTGTCTGTCAACCCAGAAAGTGAGGAAGTCAGAAAAAGCCTAATTGTTTCACACCTGATATTATGAAAATTTAGCTTAGAAACTCAGAACTTGATTTCCAATACATGACCAATGTGAAGTCTCAAGTCTCCTGCCTGCATGGTGGGCATACACACTGTGTAAACATCATGTACCTTTCTAGTGCACCACTCTCTAGGAAGTGAAACATAGAAACACTCAATGTTGAAAGACCATCAACGTAATTTTGGAAAAAGTTAAAGGCTTTTCCAAGATGCAAGTTTCTATTGATAATGTTGGCATTGTGGCCAGGTTTCTCATACTTGCTCTCCTCAGTGCTGCCTTCCGGGTTCTTTCATAAGGCAGACTCTAAAAACGAAAGGAGCAAACTCAGCTAAACACTAAGCATAGTCAAATGCACAGGCAAAAATCCATACAAGTTTTTTCCCACTCTTTTGTTTGGATTTGTTTTGTTCTTACTTTGAAAGGAACAGTACACTAAAACAAACTCCCTTCACTAAAACAAACAAAGACCCACGCTTCCCATGACTGAAACGACGTGACAGTCTCTTCTCCCAAGATGAAAAAAAGCAGGTGTCCAGCCAAGATGTTTTGAGAACTGGCTACAGCTGCACATGATGCAGGCCCTAAGTCTGCCCCAGTGAACAGACTGGAGACGAAATTAAAGTGACAATGCTACCCTTGTGAGATACCTATTCACCAAAGAGCACTCACAAATAAGAAACCTCTCAAATTTAACAGAACAACTCAATTTTATTTTGACAACAAATATTTTGAGTAGCTGTGCCCAAGTCCTCTCCCCCTTACTGTGTGCCGTGTGTTTAAAGAGCTGGAAAGAATCACTCGTTTGGGGATACTGAAGCTCTTTACCACCTACACAAGAAAGTAAAAAAAAAAAACAAAACAAATAAAAAGCCATGTGCCAACGCATTTACAGCAGTACAATATAAATCTGCATAAGACATCTTAATTTCTTGAACTTAAGCTGATTAACACTGTTCTTTGGGAACAACACATTAAATACAGAATATTTTCAAAGTGCAAAACTATCAGCAATATATTTACTGCATTCAGACTAGCAAACATTATGCAGTATTTGGCAATGCAAAGACATGCAGTATTCTAAGGCACACCTTTAAAAATAATTTTAATCAAATCACTTCTGGTTTAACGGGCACTGAAGTTATTAAACACACCCCCAAAAATCCCACACCAGGCCTTTTTAAAAAAAAGACCCAAAACAAATCACAGCAACAATGTTGTGAATAAATTGATATTATCAATAAAACTGTTGTAGAAAATGAAGTTATTAGGTGATCAAAATCATAGCGATTGTCAAGAATGTTTCATTTTTTAAAGATATTCAAAGGTTTTAAGTGCTAAGAAATTTAAAAAAACCCCTTCCATTATTCTGATATTTTAAAGTCTACAATCTGACCATTTCCTCCTAATCAAAGTTATATGTATTCCCTCAGGTGAGACTGGATTTAGAATCAAACTATAGATTTACAAATGGTTTTATCCAAAAGGCATTAAATACAAAATCCTTTTTTTTAAACAATCAAAAGGTTATACATCTAGATAGTGCTCTTTATAAGTATTCAGGGCTACATTTTGAATTACATAAAAATAAACTTGAAAAGAAATTTAAATTGTAAACTGAAATTAAGTCACCAAAGAAGAAACATCATTCATACTTTTATTTTATTTTTTTCATTTATGATTTTCTTCCTTAAGAACAAAAAAAATCTTATTTTCGCACATTAGAACAGCTGAACATCAGAGCAAGCAGCTTTATATCAGATCTTAACCTTGTCTTGCATTCATCTTTTTTTACACACTTTTCACCGATTTTCATTATTTTCTGAGTTTTTGACTTAATACTCAACAGTCTTTCTCCTAAATGTGACTTTTGTTATCCAGCAACAATATACAACTTCATTCAACCAATCACTGTTTCCACATGCATTCAAAGTCTTTTTTACATTTATAACAACATATTTGTTGATACTTTTAAAATTTCATTAAGTTTTGTTCAAGTAAAAATGGAAGCAAATTGAAATTTACAAAGCTTAAAATTTTATTAAAGAAAAATCCATGTGCTTGAATTATCAAAACAAGATTTAACAAAAACATTTTGTCATTAAAGGCCTACAGTCAATTCGCAAAATGGTTCTGGTAACCAGACTCCACGTGGCTTTTAGGCATGCAGAAGTATAGAATGGTGCTTCTGGAAGGCCTGGCAAGCATTTAAGCAGGTTAGGTACCTGACTGCTGCTGGGACTTCACTAGAAATTAGGTTTTGGTTTGTTTGGTTTTTTTTAATCCTCATACGACTTTTTGGTCATTTAGTGGTCAGGTTTTTTGATCCTTAATGTTCTCAATTAATTCCGTATCTTTACATTATCTTGATAGACCTAACTCCATTCCCTTCAAATTGAATTAAGAGTTACTAGGTCCAATCCTTCACCATCTGTTTTTCAAATTTCAGGTGAAGGAATCTAACCCAAACACCCCCAAAAGTTCTCTCCTTGTGCAAATAAGACTAAAACCAAAAATTAAGGCAAAATAATTTCTCTGCAAAAAATCTGAAAACATATGTGATAGTAGGTAAATAAATGTCAAGATTAGTCTGAATTCTACAGACACAGCACCATGGTATTGTTTTGTTTATAAATCTGGCTTCCCTTTTGATTTTGCATTCATTTAGAAAACAGCATTCTCACTAAAAGGTGAGAAAGGCTCACGTATACAGAATTAAAAACTTTAACAGTACACAGCAAGTCTACACATAACACTGGCTGTCGTGATTCCAAATTTAACTATTGAGAGATTTATTTTTAAAAAGGTATTCAAGTTCTAAATGACTACTCTAGCACTTAATAACAAAATTTTTTATATTCTGTACAGAGATGTATTTTCAAGTAAAAGAATCATCTCCTAGAACTACATACCAGAGAAAATAAGACTGAAACAGATTTTTTTTTAAGGCAGAAGTTCCACTGTATACCAGGTTAAAAGCCACCACAATATTAACTATAGCTAACTCATTAAGGACTTAAAAATTTGTATTCATAACTATTAATTCCAGTGCTGGCTAGAATGCTACTGATGTTCTGGGAAGTCTAGCTGGAGATATTGTTATCCTTACAGGTTAAAGAAAGCTACTGTAAAGTTAACCTAATCACTACTTTTAATCATTAAATAAAATGTGCTCATTTATGTTAGTAAGTTATACAAACTATTTAGAAAGGGGAAGTATGAAATATCGACAATGACAAAACAGATTTTAAAAGGTTACCATCGAAAAAGTTAGAATACATATTCAGAGGAATTTCAATGCCTAAAAACAGATTCACATATGTTCATCCACTGGAAGATTAGTGTATTAAAAAAAGTTACGAAAATACTTTTGTGTTTCAGTTCAACTGCGCTTGATTCAAGCACAGCTTAGGAGTTGGCTGATATAAATTAAACATGGTCACTGCCTCAGCAGCCAAAAGTACAGAAAAATGTACATGTTCACAGGATAAATAGAAGTCTCTTCTTTTGGAGGAATAAAAAAAAAAAGTAAAAAAGCTATCTCACTCCAATACGGGAGGTCATCCACTCCAAGCCTTGGCATAATCTGAAAGATAAGAGATGTTATTGGTACTTGTTCTACCCCAAAATCTTGGAAGTATTTTCTGGTTGACTTTATGTGTAAAAACATCTACTTAAAATAAATTAAATCAACTAGAAATGGGATTGAAAGTTGAGCAGAGTAAGTAGTGGTTTAAGTTAAGTCTATAGGCTTTAACCATAAGAAAATGGTCATGCATTCTATTTTATTGAAGCTTGGCAGCACTTCAATTTTTTTTCCTTGTAAACCTGAGAGACACTACTCCTAAATGCTAACTCGTAAGCACCTGGAACCAAACAAGTTTTTCTTTTTCTACAGATTTCCCATGAAAGACTGCTTACATGAAAGCTAGACCTTTATATACTAACTAAAAGACAAAGGTGAGGTTAACCAGGCTGAATTGTTTAATGAAAAGGCAGTGTATCAAGAATTCCAAAATCACATTACAAAATTAAAAGTATGTTTATATTGAATAATAAGACTGCATGGGATCTAATCTGCTTACTAACTCAATCTCCATCTCCATTTAAAAGTCTTCCATTTTAGAACACCGGTTTTCCTTTGATTTTCTAGCGATCTAGTTACCTTGTTTGTGTCCCCTAAGCTTTACCTTTGTAAAGTAAATCATGACTTAGCTATCCAAGAATGCTAACTTCATGAACACAGGGCCAATCTCCCCAGACTTCTGTCAGATCTTTCCAAGGAAGACTCAGTTCAGCAATCTAACTCTGGGATTTGTTTTTATTTATTGGTCTTACTATTGTCACAGTTTAAAGTATTCTAAATATTCACTTTTTTTTTACAATAAGAAAGAAGTAGACTATGATGGTCACTCTTTCTAAACTAAAGTTCATATTTATTATTATTAGTTTCTTTCAAATGTCAAATTGGTTGAAGATCTGAGTACATAAACTGAGTAGTTAAAAGTGACTTTAGTAAAATTGGTAGAAGGAAACCAGAATTAACTTAGAATGAAACAGACTCAATGAAAAAACCAGTTTGTCCTCACTAACGCATCCCACCCTAAGGAAGTTAATGCCATCATTCACTCTTTAAGATATCTCCCTTACATTAGAAAATACTTCATATTAGAAAGTGAGGAAGATGTTCTCACTTCCCAAATACTCAGTTGGATTCACTATTTTTGATGTCACAAGACTGTATTATTATAAAGGTTGTACAACGCAGCTGAAAAAAACCCTCTAAATATTACACATTATAAGACTGCTTTAAAAATCAAGATGAAAAATTAGCACATTTCACACACAAGCAAGGCATTATTCAACTTGTTAAAAGGCATCCAAAATTGTTTTTTGATCTTCACAGACAAGAGATTTAAGGAAAGCTCAGCTTCCCATTTTAGTAATTGCTGGCATAAGGTATTCAAATTTCAAAATTAGCTACATTAGTCAGATATAAACAAAATATTAAGTATTGATAACAATTTTGGCTTTTTATACCTTTTCATCTAAACTATGTTTCAATGCTTATCAAAAAACCCAATCAACTAAAAAAACCCCACCCCAACCCACCAACTTAGAAGCTTCCTACAGATTAGAATGTAAAGGAAGAAAACAGGAGCTTATTTCTTTAAATACACCAAGACATACAGAATAAAAGACTAGGGCATAGAGAGTAGAGAGTTATGCCCGCAGCTACATATTTGGGTCAGAGTGTTGTTTGGTTTTTGTTTTGGAGTTTTTAACAATAAACTAAAAGACTTTCATACAAACAAGGAGTTCGAGCTATGAAAAAACCCACAAAGGTAAAAAAAAATATGAAAAATTCAAAATACCCCTCTTAACTATAAAGAGCAAAAAATATGTTCAGAAAATCCACACTAGCATCAAAAGGATTCTAAATCAGTATTCTCATTTGCCACAAATTGCTGTACTAAGCAGTAAGCATTTACCCTTCTCCTGTCAAAGCACAGCAGGATTGAATGTGCCACGGGTGATCCTTTATGGAGCTGAGGGTGAGGTATGTAGATATCTCGGCAGCTGTCATGCAGCCTTTCATGTCCTGCTTGTTTGCAAAGATGAGAACTGCAGCCTTCCGTAAATCCTAGAAATGATTTAGAGTACTCATAACAGTTATTATGAAAAACTAAAAGGCTATTGTGCTAACTTAATTTCTTAAAAGAACTGTATTCAAGTTAATCTACAATTACACAGGAGTATGGAGTTTTAACCAACTTTGTGTAGTAAAAATTCATTACATTAAGACTGAAGAAACTAATTTATTCAATTCTCCACCACAGAGGATCAAATTGAAATGTATTATATGAGTACCATTTTGGTGTTGGCAACATGTTCATATATAACTAACGAAAGTCTTGTTAAAATATATTTCATAATGCTCCAAACCACCCAGCCAGCAGAATTATTACTGGTAAACATTTCAAACTCTACAATAGATACTATTCAAAGGGAAAAGCCTGCTAGATATCATTCCCTTGAAATCGCTTTCAACGTTATTAAACAAGTTCTGTAGTGACTAAAACAGTAATAAATTAAGAAAGCTATCTAAATTCATGTAAGTTTAATGCTGGTGTTCCAAAAAGGGAGCTGTAACAATGCTGCAGCAGCTTTAGTAACTACTTAAAAGTTGCTTTGTTTCAGTGTGGAATTTAGGATTCCAAACAGCATTGAGGCAAGAACTGGGATGTATGTCTTTAGAGGTGCAGAAGGGTAAACAAATGCAATACTCAGGAGGCTGACAGTTGCAATTAAGTGTTCAATATGCTTCAATGTATATTAAATCTGGGACTATTTCTCCATCAAGAGGAAGAAAAACAACAACAAAGTTTTATGATCTAAAGCTGAAAATTCTCTCCTACAAGTAGTCCAGTCTAGGCCTACCAACTGTTTTCAAGAGATGGTAGATCACAATTTCATAAGAGTTTAAGACTGGAAACTAATAAACTACATGGGAAAACTTTACCACAAGAAGTCATCTTCCCACTTCTTTTGGCAGTGTATTTGTTCCTTACTACTAGACCCAAACTACTTTAATATAAAACTGTAAAGTAAAAACTCACTTATTCAAAACAAAGCAAGATTCTCAGAGAAATGAACTGAATAGAATTACTTGCACTGTACTAAATCCTTTTCTTTCAAAAATGAGAAAGAACATTTAGATTTAAAACAATTTAGCTGGAGAGTGTTTAGCTAATCCAATGTACATGTTAGTTTAGAAAGTTTGAGGGAGTTGACCCAACGTTGAACAACTCAAACAAAAGTACAAACAAAACAATCCATAAGGAAAATGAACTGAAATTAATTTATCCATAGTGTTATCTATGCTTCTTAATTTTAAGGAACAGGATTAAAACAAACAAGAAAAAGTAAGCAATTCCATTTTTCTAAAATAAAAATTTAAAAAAAAATGTTTCTTAAAATTTTAACCATTTAACTGAAAGGAGACTGTGGTAGAGGACAATAATTCCTTTTTAAACTAATATGAAGCAGAAGATGTTTTAGAACTTCAACATTTGCAAAGATTGATCTGATTACAATCAAGCAAGCCTTAATAGAGAGTGCTTCACAATAATTTTTCTGCTTATTTATAGTTTATGTGGTTTTAAAATGTGACTAACATGCATGCACATTTATTCTCAGACTTTTTTTGTGACAGTATAATTTTTGATAGCATAGGAAGCATGTAATGTTATTTGACTGTTCTCAACAAAACTATTATCCCAACTCCCCACCATACCTCATGAGCCAGCATTCTATAAAGTTCTTCTTTTGTAATAGAAAGTCGCTCTCTATCAATGCTGTCAACAACCAGAATGATGAACTAGGGAAAAAACCCAACAGTAGAGTACTTAAGTAAAAAGTATAAATTACAGAAAGCACATTTTCAAGAGATCACTAACTGCAAGTCTTCCTCTAGAAGAGACATACACTTACAGGACACTAGAAAAGGGAAAAGTTTTATTGCTACAGTCTTTTGCTAGAGCTGTGGGAATCACACATGAAGATTATACCTAAAAAAAAATAATCTAACAATGTCATGCTTGCACATTTCAGCATTATTATTAAGATCTGCATATATGTACTACGGCTAAATCTCCTTGGTGGACTTTCAGGCTATATATCATACTCAAAATAGCTATGTTACTACCAAAAAGCACCTACAGATAGTGGATTACATTTAAAATGTGGATGACAAATGTGCTACAGATGTCATCATGAAAACAGCTGCTACTGTCCACTACTACTTGCATACTCAGGAAATTATAAATTTGAAATTGAAATTATGTACTTTTAAAGAAGCATATTTTACTTTACAGTTCAGCATCATTTTACTCACAAGGCTTAAGAAAGATTATTTCAAAGTAGTACATCAGATGTCACAAAGGTATGTATCTGTAGGCAGCAACTACATTGCTGCAAACTTCATTTTACCAAGGACCTGTGCAGTTGGCCTATCACAACTTTGCACCCTTCCATCTTTTGCTGAAGCCCTTCCAGGCTTTGGGAGATGGCTGTAGCAGTGATTTTACCCTTACTATTTCCGTTAGGCACATTATTCTTACGGCCTTGCACTTGTGGGGACACTGCTAGGTCTGGTAGATCAGGCCTCCCATAGAAAGCAATTGTCACTGGTATGAAAATGACTGTCTACTACCCAATCTTTCTGCTCCTTGTTTTGTACCTTCTATTTTATAGCCTTGCACTAGAGAGGAAAAAGACACAGCATTATGCAGTAGGTAACACTCAAGCAAATTCTCGTAAGCATCACACAACAGTATTTGCACACGAAGCATAACAACTGATCAACACTTCAATACTTGCCCTGCCCAGTGTGCTCCAAGCAGTGCTAACAGCATCATGGGGGGGACAATGAGTAAGGAGACCAAGCACATTCTGATGAAAATTATGCAGATACTATAATAACAATAAAATAAATTACAGGGGACATATGCTACACTGGAGAGGAAACCAGGAAGATTACATTCATCTGACAGATTCCTTTACTTCTATGCCCAGATGACAGTACTTCTCAACCCCTTTTCTGCTTCACTGCAACTCTCTTTGTTCACCCGCAAACCCAATAACTTAACCATGGGAGCTCCCTCCCTTTCCTGTCCTCCCAGATTTTTATCTTTAAGTCTGTCTTAACATCCTCTCTGTAAGAATATGATCTAACACTTAAAACAGAATTGCAGAACTAGCCATATTAAGTTGAAACTAATTAGGACAGGTATGCACTAAAATGCTTATTTGTGGGACTTTTACATTACTCCAAAGATTTTGTGTAGATTGCTCCAATTTGCACACAAGGAAAGAGAGAAAAGACAGACAGTAACAGAAGAGGAGAATTAGAAATCACTGCTATAATTCTCCAACATATGCTCCAAATCTCTTTGCCTTAGAAAATTAAAGAGATTCATTAGCCACTGAGAATGACCACAGAGAATGAAAAACTAAGTCAATTTAATGCTGCTGTGACTTTGAGATGCCTAGCAGATGAGGAGGAACAGTAAAGGAATTATTCATATCAGGGAGGCTAGGATTGGCATACTAAACAGATCTCTTTTCTTCCTCAACTGTTTCCAGCAGACAAAGCTTCTAAGTAAAAGGGAAGTTCTTTCCAAGTACTAAAAGGCACTGGATTTCAAACACTTACTAGCCAGAATATGATGAAGAACATCACAAAAGTATCAGAAAAAGAACTAATATATGCATCTCTCCAAATTTCAAAATCAAAGGTACTCAAGGGACAAAAGAACTTACTGCTCTGTAGCAGATAATGCAAGCAGAAGTGTCTTCAACCTCATGTGTGTCTTAGATGTAGCTATACTTTTCCAGAAAAAATTAAAAACTAGTTTAAAATACTAGACATGAAGGTGGAGATGTCATCACCAGGCTTTCAGAAGACCTAGGACGGATTGCTAATCTCACCTCTCTCCAAGAGAGGCACAGGACAGAAAAATCTCATTTTACAGGAGGATGGAATACTTACATAATGAGCAGTATCTACAAGAGATTTCTGCTTTTAGTAGAAACTGTAAGTAATTAAGCCTAAAATAGTTTACATCAATGTAGATGTCTCAAAATGAGTCCTCAGAGATTATATGTGCATTTTGTATTGATAACCTTTTGGCAGCAAAAAGGTTGGCATAAAAAACAAACCCCCAGAAGACAACTGACACTGAATTCCAACCTTTCCAGCAACGGCAGCTTTGCCAGTACCTCATGACTATTGCAAAGCTAGACTTTCCTTTACCCTTGGATAAAAGCCACAAGCTGGTGAGCTTTTTAAATACTGTTGCCTAGAGAAAGTTTCATTCTTCATCCTTAATTATCATTATCTCAAAAACATTTCAGACTAGATGTACAGAAGTCAGGTTGACCATGGCAAATCCTCACTAAATTTGCAAATTACAATGCAAAATTTTCATTTTAATCTACTTAAAGAAACCATGCAAGAAATCTGATCCAAAATGTATATTGATATCATTTATTGTCTAGGAAAAAAGTCTAACTTCATAGTTTATATCACAGATCAAGCAACAGTACTGTAAACTAAACAGGAAAAATACTTCAAATATTACCAGAGAATTGGCTGCATACCAGAGATACCTCACACTTTTTGGATTTGTTTTTGCTCAATAGGATTTAAAAACAATACAGCTGCAATCTTTATAAAAATGTACCAATATTCCTAATAAATAAATATAATTTCTAACAAACTTGCAAAGCAGCTTTTCATACCTCTGTGTTTGAATAATAGGTATTCCACGATGACCGTAATGATTCTTGTCCTCCAATATCCCACATTAAGAAATGAGTGTTTTTCACCACTATTTCTTCTACATTGCTTCCTATGGTTGGAGAAGTATGAACCACCTCATTCATTAAACTAAAGGAAACAATATCACACAAAGGACCAGTCAAAAAAATCCACAAGGCTTGTTACAGCTCAGGTATAATAAATTTGTTGTAGAAAAAGTAAATATGTGTAACTGATTAAAGAAATAATAAAAACCAGGTATATTTTAAAAAAGCTATACATTTGAAATTTATGGAATGTAGTGACTGTAGACATGCTTAAAGACATCAGCAATGAAAAATAAGCACATAAAAGGCATAACAAATGGATAAGCATCTGCATTTTAGGAGGATTCTCTTTTTAAAGGACATTAACAGATACTTAAAATGCACTTGTCTTAAAGGAGAAGCTGCTATTCTAAAGATCCCAAATATGGGAGTGTTGAACTGTGCAAAATATAAATCAAAAGATAATTTTATCAGAGCACTCTACTTCGTAACTCAATATTACAACCAATCCCAAAGGACTGTTTAGTTACATAGTTGAAAATTCCTCAGTTCTACCTTTAAACTTTCTCAAAAATGCTTAGGGAAAAAAAAGTATTTTGGGAAAACATACTCTGCTGCTTTTGTATCCAAATATATGGAGAGTAATTTAGCTACATCCTCCCTCTTTTCTACAATTACAATAGTAATTATGGTCCTCCTGAAATTCTTGAATTTATCATGGATATTCTTGTAATGCTGGCAAGACTTGGGTGCAATGATGCCATTGAAAATGCCCAAAGTAGAACCTGGGCAAGATGAAATACTATTTTTAGGAATTCTCCATCACAAATTTTAGACACAGGAACAGGGAAACATTTGGAAATATTTATGGATTTTTGCAGAGTGGCTAGAATTTCCATTAATTTAAAAACATGCTCTTCTCTGCAGTTACTGGTAATAGGATTATTTCTACGCTTACAAATTCAGATGAGCTTTGATGGCAAAAAAATCGCAGTTCACTTTGTGCTTGTATGTACAATTTTGTTATTCAATTCACAGTTCAGTTTTAAAGCACGGCAATTGCTTCTCTTATTCTTGAAATATTTACTCTGTTTAGAACAGCTAATACTGTTAATGTACAAACTGTGATCTGGAATCCTAGAGATTCTGCCAGGTTACAAAGTTGAATTTTCAATGATTAAACAGTGACAAATACTAAAATGCAAACAGGAAAACAAAGTAGTTCATATACTTACAACTGGTAAAGAATAGTAGTCTTTCCAGCATTATCAAGTCCCACTATGATTACTTTGTGCTCTGGATATACAAAAAAAAAAAAAAGAAGACAAAAATAAATTACTGGAAACAGCAACAGCTATAATTCTGGTTAATCACTTTTCCTTACTGAAGAAAGCAACAGCTTGTTTGCCTTATTTCAATAGCTTACATAGAATAGTGGCGACTTCGGGACAAAAAAAAAAAGCCGAACAAAACTACAAAGCCTCATCTTCTCTTGAGACTACAATCTTGGGAAAAGTCAGCACTGGAGATCTTCAGAAAGGAATGGTTACTTCATCAAAAAAATCTAGTTTTAGAAAGAAAAGTACAATGAAAAAAATGTAACTCATAGCAGCGTATCATCTTAAGAACATCACCAAACATCCAAAGACTGCAAAAACATTAGCCTAATGGTCAAGGCTCACTAAAAGCCACTTGTTAAGGGACCACCATCATCCATAGAGTAGAAGTTAAGAGGAATCTGCATTTTGAATAGACTGAAAATTCCAACTTTTCAACTTCTAAATTGAAAGTCACAGAATGACAGAATGGTCCCAGAATGACAAAAGGCCTAAAGACACTTCTGAAGGTCACCTAGTTCAACCCTCTAGCTCAACCAGGGCCACCTGGAGCCAACAGCCTAGGACCATGGTCAGATGGGTTTTGAATGTTTCCAAGAACGGCAACTCCACAGTGCCCCTGGACAACCTGTGCCAGTGCTCAGTTTCCTGACATAAAGAGAGAACCTCCTGTGTTTCAGGTGCTCTGTTGCCTGATCCTGTCACTAGGCACCGCTAAGACAATCTGACTCTGTCCCTTTTGCATCTCTTTTCTCATATGTGAGATGTTCCAATTCCTTAATCATCCCTGTGGCCCACCACTGGACTCTCTCCTGCATGTCCATTTCTCTCTTGCAGTAAAGAGCCCAGAACTGGACACACTACTCCAGGTAAGGCCTCACCAGTGCTGAGCAGAAAGGAAAGATCACCTCCCCCCCAAAAAAAAATAATTTTTATTATTAAAAATAAAATCGCTTTTCCCTGCATCAGACAAACCCAGACCCTCCCTGCTGCAAAGTCCAGCTTATAGAACAGTGATCTTTCAACTACCGTAATGTCAATTTTTCCAGGCACGGGGAAACAAAACAGAAAACAAACAAACAAAAAACCCTTTAGAATTTATATGCTTCTCTGTAAATAATCCTTCTAAGAATTTCAAATCCAGCAGCACAGCCAATTAGAATAGTGGTTCTGCTACATGTGTGAAGTTAAAAGGTACCAATCCACTTACTGACAAAAAGGCAAGTCACTTGAGACCAGCGAATTTGCAAATGGATACTAGAAATAAAACGTATTTACAAGGTCTGTGAACAAGCTCACTTTTGAAGGGATAATATTGACAATGCCAGGGCACTTACTCTTAAGCAAAACATGGTTCACAGCTGAAAGATTTCCTGTAAAATACCGCACTTGATTTACAAGACTTACAATAAGTTGGTAGAAAATCAGAAGATCTATCATAAATGTCAAATTGGTAGGGCTTTGCCCACAAGTGGATGGTTTAAGGTAGTATTAAAGTGTTTGTTTTCTGGGTTTTGTTTTGGTCTTAAATCTATTGACACGTAATTACCTATGTCTTTTCATACTGAAAGTGACTGTAATGAAAGATTCCAGTTTGGGAATTTTAGAAGTTTTGCTACGCAATACCATCATAACAAATGCTGAAATGTATTTCCTTGTGCCAGTTCCCCTACTACTGCATCCTGTCAACACATTCTAAGGAAAGAATTTTTCCTGGCCTTAAATCCAGTAGTACTTCTAGCACCATAAGCAGCAGCACCAGTTATTAGTAACATTTCCCAATACAGAAATACTACAAAATCCTCTCTGCTTTCAGTGCTGATAAACCATCCCTCATAGTCTGACTGTCCATCTCTTATTCAAATTCAGTCAAAGAGCTCTCCAAAGTTCAAACACAGAAGTACTCTTTGGTTGTTTTCAAACCAGACATGTCAACCATTGCCTGGAAGAAGATGACCCTACTTTAGCAACATTCCATTTTGAGTTATTTTCAAGGAAGAAAACGAATTCCAGTCAGGCATTACATTGCTCTTTCTCATCTTTGCAATACAATACAATGCTTAGGTGTGAATTACTGAAGTGCTGGACGAAACAATATCACCCTACTTAAAGTAATAGAAAAGATCTCCACTGAGATGACTGTTTATGAAAGCCGCCAAAGTGTGAATGGTTTGACATTATTTGGAAAAAAAGGCACAGCTTATCTGTGTTACTCCACAGTCAAATGGTACTTTACATAGTAACTGAATAACCACAATATTCAGACAAGAAATAGTCACACAAGTGTTAATTAATGGTGATCTGGGGATGAACATAATAAGATGAACGCACTGGTATCTCACACAAATAGCAGTTTCCACCTTTTATTAATGGCAGTTGCCATTAATATTATAGTAATGGCAAACTCTATATATATATTGTAGATTATTATTCTATGTTTCCATTCTATACTTTCATTCTATAGTTCTAGATACAGAACTATAGTAATAGAAAACTCTTCACTTACAAATACATTCAAAAGTTGAAGTTCTGTCTAGTTTGGTTAAAATACAGAACATTAACACATAGATGTGCATTAGAGGAAAAACATGCCAAACCAAGAGAGAACAGAATTTTAGCAAGACAAATACTTGTTTACAAGAACAACTAGAAGAAGACAGATGCCACATTTAGGAGAAAGGACAGTTATGGGGTAAACCATAGGCAGTGTTTATTGGTGTTCTGTACTTACAGACTAACCCAAGTTTCTCCCTTTCACTGGTTGGTACACAAACTCATTTTGGGTTGTATTCATGAATATCTTCCCAGTCCACCATGTTCTTGGCAAAGGAAGAAGAAAATCCATAACAAAGTCAACAGAGCAGAAGACGAGTCTTTATTAATCAGGTAGGAAGTGGGGGAAAGTAGAAAAAGTAGGCATATGTGTGTGGGGGGGGAAGACAGTATTGACAATATTAGACTACTCTTTAAAAGAATCCAAAGACTTCTGTTATATCAACCATTCTTCACTCACTGTTAAAAAAAAAAAAAGTAGTATTGTTAAAAAAATCTCTGGCAGTCTAGTATTACAAAACCGCAGGACAGTGAAAATTATCTTCTTGCAGATGTTACAAGAAAGACATAATATGTTCTTTTTTTTCACTTATATATATTTCCCTGTGGTAAAAGGGCCCAAAACTGAAGATTCAATTCTCACAACTTTGCCCTTCCCTCTTTTTTGAAAAGTTAAATTAAAAAAAAAAAATAATTTCTAAATACAATAATGATGAGGCTCTTCCAACACACTTAAAAGAAAAAAAGGGTACCAATACTTTTCAGACAAAACACACACATCTACTTTTGAATAGTAAGGATCTTGGAAGCTTCAAAGTTGAAGACAGAATGCAGATAGAAGTTTGCTGAAGATGAGGCAGCAGGAATAGCATATTTCTAAAGGTCAAAGGGGTTTCAATACAAATACTCAGTTTGGACACTAAAAGCTACCTTAGAGTCTCCTTTAAAGCACAAAAAAACCTGCTTAAATACATCTTCTATCTCCAGACTTGATTACAAGAAGGTAGAGAAACTGTCAATAGTATTTAGTAGTCATTGGAACCAAAATCTATTTGGTTTTCCAGATAATGGTCTCTTCCAACCTGACTGTACAGTCGGGGAACTCTCAGCAAGCCTAAGTGACGTGAACTGTAGAGTTCTAGAAATTCCTTGAATTAGAGCTTACCATTAGTTTTCTTAAAGCAATTTTTACAACTGTAGCAATTATTCTGAGCACCCTGAAGACTTCGAACAACCACCATTTTAAAATAATTAAAAACCAGATTTGTGAACTTCTTAATTAACTTACCATGCACGCACAAAAAACCCCAAGGTATTGACAACTATCAGTGTTGCGGACATTCACTTCTGTTTTTTTCCTTATAGTTTCATTAAGAGCAATCTTGATAGCATTGATAGAATATGTCACACAAGTTTTACACAGTCATGTAACACAGCACTAACTTAAGTTGCTCCACCATTTATTCATATTACTACATGTTGCTTAAAAGACTATGCCATTTGAGTACTGTACCATAGCTTCAGCAGGTCGTTTTTGAAATCTGATTTTTTCTTCAAACTTCCAGAAGTAAGTTATTTTTTTATAGTAAGTATAAGTAAGTTCAATCTTAAGTCACTTAGTAATTAGCCTTAAATGACTGCAGGGCACAAAATTTTAAACAAAAACAACACTTGAGGCAATGTTTTTTGTCAATTTCAAAAATAAGGAAAAAGAATCAGGAAGCCATTAGAAAGTCACCTAGAAAAGAGACAAAAGTCTGCTTTAAGCCCAATTGCTTCTCTTACGAGTAAAAGTACCTCTATTTCAATTCACATCATTCAATTACTACTTGATTATGACACAATATATATGGAGAGCTGAAAGACACAGAAATGCTTATATTCCTCCCTCCTTCAGGTCTTAACCTCTGCACTGAAAAGGCCCAGAGACCAGAAAACAAGATTAAATTATCATGGCTAGACTTTGTGAACGAAGATTTGGGAAAGGCTCTACCCACGTTTGTTACAAGTGCGCTGGTGGCTAAAAAGGCCAATACGAGACAGGCATGTCCGCTTGCAAAAGGCACAACAGAAAGACTCCTTGGGTGGTAAATTCTGCAAGGTACGATTCTTTCTGTGTTGTCTTTTTTCCTCAAGGGTGATCCTACGTGTGTTCTCAAAAGTATCAGCAGCGTTATAGATGGTGTGTCTCCAGACCTTCCTACTGGAGGCCAGAATAGACCAGTTATGTTGATCAATATGGCCAAAGCTGAGATGTTGTTTCAGGGAGTCCTTGTATCTCCTCTTTGGGGCTCCTCTCATGCGGCAGCCGGTGGCAAGTTCACCATAAAGCAAGATCTTAGGGAGGCGGTGGTCCTTCATCCTGGAGACGTGTCCTGCCCAACGCAGCTGTGTTCTCAGCAACATGGCCTCAATACTTGTGACTGCTCCTTGCTCTAGAACAGATGTATTAGTCACATAATCTGAGCAGTAGATGTTTAGGATTGTACAGAGGCAGTGTTGATGGAAGCGTTCTAGGAGTCGCAGGTGGTGGTAGATGACCCATGATTCAGAACCATATACGAGAGTAGACACCACTATGGCTCTGTAAACACTGATCTTTGTACTTTTCTTCAAGTGTTTTTTTCACCAAACTCTTTTAAGAAGCCTTCCAAAGGCACTATATGCCTTTGCTAACCTGTTGCCTATCTCTCCGTCAATCTTACCATCCGAGGAGATGATGCTACCTAGGTAATTAAACTGCTGGACTGATTTGAGCTCTGATTTGCCAGTGGTGATGTGGGGATGATGGAAGACTTCCTGAGGTGCAGGTTGATAGAGAACTTCTGTCTTCTTTAAGCTGACTTCCAGTCCAAAGAGCTCAGCAGCCTCTGCAAAGCAGGATGTTAAACGCTGCAGAGCTGCTTCTGTGTTAGCGACAAGGGCGGCGTCAACAGTACAGAGCAGCTCCCTGACAAGATGGTTTAAGGTCTTGCTGTGGGCCTTCAGTCACCTTCGGTTGAAAAGGTTTCCATCAGTACGGTATCGGATGTAGATACCGTCCTGATCCTCGAGGTCTGCCGTGGCCCTTTGGAGTATCATGCTGAAAACGACTGTGAATAAGGTTGGTGCGAGAACCCAGCCTTGTTTCACACCATTAGTTATTAGAAAGGGCTCAGAAAGCACATTGCCATAACTGACCTGGCCGTGTTGATCCAGAAAACAAGATTAAATAAGGCCCTGGAATACCACCACCACTACTCAAACAAAACCAGCCACTGCTTAAAGACTATTGACAAACTCAAACCGGAAATGAACCCTTCCAAATGTATCAACAGAGCAAAACAGATATTCCTTGACAGACTGTACTCAGACTGTTAACCTTACTCTCTTTCATTAGTCATTGACTCATGGATCAGCATAGGCATCACCCAGTTTATCCTTAAACTGCTTTGCAATGCAGCTTTTCTTATTTCATAATCTCATGTACCAGATTTGGAGAGTAGATCGTGCACTAGCCACATAACATTACTTAAACTGTTGTATTTTCTTACAAGCCAGTTTGGGTTTGGCAAAATGGGGTAACCATAATCAAAATGGGCTGAACCAACCGGAACAACTTCTGTTGCATGTACAGTGACTTGAAACAGAACAGACAGATTCAACTCCCTTGTAGGAAACACTCAGATGCTACCCAAGACAGAGGGCTAAAACAGCTGAATACAAGTAATAAGAAATGCTGCAGGAATAGGTCAATAGATACGCTAGTCAACAGACACTTAGCAACAGAATGTCTTTACACACAAATTAGGTCCAGGCTCTTGACCTTCCTTGTAGTATCTTACCCTTACCACTGGAAAAGCAGGTAGGAGAATCAAACTGCAAAAGTAGCAAAGAACATGTGTAAATTAATAAGATGATATTTATAGCTTTAGTAGGATCTAAAGGTATCTCCATTACAAGGTTTTCCTACCAGGCAGAAGTCACTATGAATGAACTCAACTTTATCCATACCACATGGTTATTGTAACAGGACTGAACCCCAAAGCACAAAATGAAATGTTACTTATCTTAAGATGTGCATTTTTCAGAAAGCTACACATATATCTTCTTCCTGCAAGTTAACAGCATTAATTCACTGGCAAATATTTCTTTAAAGTTGACCAGATACTACTGATCAAGTACGCTTTGAATTGGGCATCTTCAGCTTGGCTATTAGTCACATTTATGCAAAGCAAAACTGCAGTGCATCATTAATAATACTCAAATGAATTGCCAATGACGTCCTGTTCTGTATTTTCGAGCACTTAGGCACACCTCCTCCCCCATGTTCCTTTTGATGGAACACAGACAGCACTTTTCAAATCTTTGCTTAGTTTAACCTTTCATTTTGCCAGTATCAAGTGCCCCAAACTATCAGCACAACTCACACTAACCACAACAAACTGAAAGTATCCTCCTCCCACACTGAAGTCTATTTGCATCTTTGGAATACTCCCTCTATACAGTCAAAATCAATGTGTAAGGTACTGTGCTGGTCTGCTCAACAAACAGCTTCATGGGACAGCCTCTGAATTCCCCAAGGAATTGTCTAGATTTGATGTAACTTGAAGAGCAACCAAAACCAACTCATAAATTACTATCCTTCATTATTAGTAATGATATTATTTAGAGAAAAATAGTTGTGAAAATAGAGCATAATTTCCCATTAGATGGGTCAAAACTGTCCGTTTGAAGCAAACTTTCTAGAATAGAAGTTCAATTTTGGTCATGAAAAGAAACTCATTTTCTTTTCTGTGGTCACCACAAGAGGAAAAAAAAACAAATCAAAGCAACAAAACCCAAACCAACAGTAACTCCAGCAACAAAACAAGACCAGAACATACCCCAGAAACTTCTTATTGGGATAAACGCCAAAGAGTAAATATTTCATGATACCATCTCACCTATCTTAAATGTGAGACAAATTTTCATTAACATTTTAAATATATGAATGCATTGGTGAGGTTTTGATAGTGGGGAGAGCTACAAGGGTGTTTTCTGTGAGAAGCTGCTGGAAGCTTTTCCTATGTTTATGGAGCCAATGCCAGCTGGTTCCAAGGTCAAGCCCACCAGCAACAGGAGTAATGCCTCTAGGATAACATATTTAAGATGGGGAAAAGTTATTGCACTGATGCAAATGTGGTAAGAGAAGAGAGGAGCAAAAATATGTTAGAGAAACAACTCTGCAGACACTATGGTCAGTGCAGAAGGAGGGGGAGGAGGTGCTGGAGGTGCCAGAGCAGGTATCTCCCTGCAGCCTGTGGGGAAGACCACTGTGAGGCAGCTGTGCCCCTGCAGCCCATGGAGGTCCACAAGGGAGCAAATACCCACCCACACGATGTGGATGACCCCATGCTAGAGCAGGTGGATGCTCAAAGATGGCTGTGACCCCATGGGATGCCCATGTTGAAGCAGTCTCCTTCCAAGACTCGTAGAGAGAGGAGCCCATTTTGGAACAGGTTTGCTGGCAGTACTTGTGACCTCGTGGGGGATTCACGCTGAAACAGCCTGTTCCTGAAGGACTGCACCTTGTGGAAGGCACCCATGGTAGAGCAGCTAGTGAAGAATTGCAGACCATGGGAAGAACACTTATCGGAGAAGCCTGTGGAAGACTGTCTTCCATGGGAGAGACCCCCCCATCAGAGCAGGGGAAGGAGTCCTCCCCTTGAGGAGGAAGGAGTGGCAGAGACAATATGTGATGAACTGATCACAGCCCCCATTCCTCATTTCCCTGAACTGCTGCAGGGAGGAGGTAGAGAGAACAGAAAATTAAGTTAATCCTGAGAAAAAAAGGGAGGGACGGGGGAAGAAGTTCAGAAATTTTGGTTTTATTTCTTATTACCCTGTACTGATATGATTATGAACTAAATTAATTTCACAAGTTGAGTCTGTTTTGTCCATGACAGTGACTGGTGAGTGATCTCTCCCTATCCTTATCTTGACCCAAGAAACTTTTTTTATATTTTCTCTCCCCTGCCCAGCTGAGGAAGGGAGCAATAAAGTAGTTTTGGCAGGCATCTGGTATCCAGCCACCATAATGAAGAATAACTTTTCTTGCAGGAAATAATATACAATAACAGAGACAATGTGTTTTCCTGAAGATAAATACTGACATCATAAGGTACCATACAGAACAACACTGTTGTCTCCTGATCAGTTCTTTGCTTACAGATCTCTTTGGAGTCTTTGGAGTTCTTCATGGAGGGAAAGGATTTGCAGATTGCACTATCTGATGGAAATCAAAACAGTACTCAGTATTTTTCTGGAGAACTGGGGAAACCTTACCAAATAGGTTTGAGAGTTCAGAAAAATAAGAAATCAACAACAGGAACAAATTTAGAAGACTGTTAGATGACTTCAGGAACAATGTGGTAGGACAGTGTATGTGGGAGAAAGATAAATGATCTGGGACTGGGATCCCTCCCAATCTCATCCCATGAAAGAGTTTGATACACAGATGTCAATGTGTATACACACTGAGGCTTTGCTCTGTTATTTACAAAATTAGGATGGGTTATGTGCAAACACAGTAACAAGACTATTAAAGGGATACCAGGTGTATATGCTCCCAAAACTTGCAACAGAGCACTGAACAGAAAAGTTTATCTGCATTCTTAGTAACTTTAAAGTGGAAATGAAGCGTGCATGTGGAAACTTGATGAGAAAATAATTAACATCAGTTTGTCTTCTCCAAGCTCAGGCCCTCAAGGAAAAACAATACAAGCAATAAATTCCTCGACTCTTTATTTTCGAACCAAAGAAGGCTAGGTAAACAGAATCCATTAAAACAAATAAATTAACAGATAAACTATAATCTTCTATTTTATGATAACCACCTGAGTAAAGGTGGTTATCAAGCCCCAAGTTCTGAGTTCTGGATTACAGCATGAGCCAACACTGCGGGCCTGAGCTAGAGAGGAGAGCATGTAAAGCAATCCTATCCCCTTATGACCTTTTTGTTCTTGGCTGGAGAAGTGATTTTCTTGGGACACTAACTGTATTTAACCAGAATCTTTGCCAAAACACAAATAGATCTTTACCTCGAAGGCCCCAACACGTTTAGCGGGTTTTTTTTTCCCTTTAAACTAAAGACCACAATAACATGACTTTAATAGGAGACCTCGACTCAAAAAACTAAGGTCTGCAAACACAAACACGACGATCATCGTCCATCAAAGCTTCAGCCGCGACCGCGGTGCAAAAACCCGGTCCGAGAGGCAGAGACGTGCCCGCCGTGCGATCCCGAGAGCACAGCGCCCGAAGGGCCGCCCGGGGCACATGGGGCGTTTAACGCGGCCAGGGAGGAGGGGGCAAGGAGGGACCACCTCAGGAACTGAGACAAAGCGACCCCGGGCATGAGGCGCCGCGGCACCAGCGCTCCCGGAGCTGGACAAAGAAAAGACCAACTTTAGGCTGGGCGGGCCCTCGGCGAGCGGAGCCGGCCCCGAGACGCCCCCGGCTGCTCGCGGCCCCAGCAGCTCCGCGGGCTCCGCTCGCCGTCCCGCAGCCGTCCCGGGCCCGCGCGCCCACCTTGGCTACCGAAGAGGCTCCACAGCTTGGCGAAGATCAAGCCCATGCCTGGCCCCGGCTTCCCACCGAGCCTCCTGGACACCCCGGGCTCAGCCAGGTGGCGGCGGTAGCGGTAACAGCAACACCAGCTCCCCCAGACCCCTCCGGCAGCGGCCCCGGACCAGCGGGAGTGGGCGGGCGGCGGGAGGGGCGGGCACGCGGCACCGCCCCGCCCCGCCCCGCCAACGGCCGCACGGCGGGGCCGCCCCAGCGGCGGCACGGCGGGTGCGTCACTGCCGCGTCAGCGCGGGGGCGGGCCGCGCAGCGCCTCTGCGGGGCCAGTTGCGCGGAGAGCCCGGCCGCCTGCCCAGGTCTGATGAAAGGCCCACGGGGCTGGGGCCGGGCACGGTCGGGAGGAGGGAGCTGCCTCACCTCGCAAGGGAGGGGAGTCGCGGTGCCCGGCGTTGCAACGGGAGGCGCTGGCAGCGCACCTTGCCCGTCCCTATCCCCGTGTCCTTCAGCCGGGCGGTGCTGTGGCCGGTCCGCGGCCTCTGCCTTTGACAGGGGTTGCGGGTTTCAAGGCTCACAGTTCTCTCCTGTGTAGTAAAGCGTGTAAAAACAGCTGGGCTCGCTTTCAGTGCTGTACTGCAGGTTCCTGCATACGGAGCTCTTGAGCGGGTACCCGGCTTTTATCACTCAGGAGAGGTCAGCCGGACAGCACGAACCCTGCTCCGCCCTAGACGGGGAGTCCATAGGCACTTAGATGCAGGAAGGGTGGAAGAATAAAACGTTATTATAATCCACTCATTTCAGCTTTTTCAGAGGGAAAACATTAAAAAAAAAAAAAGCGCTCTCAGCAACGTCTTGTCCAATGAGCTCGGGTGCCCCCGGGCTCAGCCCCCGCCCTGTTGCCGCCCTCCCTGTCCCCTAGTGGAGAAGGGGTGCGGCGGCTGCACCTACTCCCCGCCCCGGCGTTCCCGGCTCCCATGGCGACTCCGCACAGGCGGGACTTCCTGCGGTCGTCCCGGAGGAGGCGGGACCGGCCCGGGCCTGGCGGTAGGTGGGAGGCTGGCGGTGTGTCGGGGTTTGCGCCGGAGGGTCGAACGCGGTCCGGCACCGGCACCTGTGTCCTCCGCCCTTCTCGTTGTGTCCCGGCTGTCCCTCGGTGTCCGTCGAGGCTGAGGGGGCGGTGGCGGCAGTGGCACCTCCCCCGTACTCCTGGGCTGAGGTGCCTCACAGGGCGGCGAAGAGCTGTGTGTCCTGTCCCACCCCGGGGTGTTTTCAATAATGGACGGATGGGGAAATAAAGGAGAGCGCCCCAAATTCCGCTCCCCACAGCAATGAGCCGACTGACTTTTTCCTCGTGTGTGAAAGGGTGGGGAAGGGAGGTTTGAAAGAGTCGGCATCTCTGGTGCTGACTGCGTTTGACAGCTCGCAGTGTCCATGTCCGTAGTTAGATCAAAGCGCTGGTCCGGCGTCGCGTTCCTCGCTGCAGTTTCCTCCCCACTGAGGCACAGAGAAATCTGCAAGGAGATGGTGAATAGGGAGGGGAGGCTCCCTCAGGGGCTTTCTTCTGAAGTCCGTCAAGGCTTTACTGTGTACGGCACAGTAGGTCTGGGCAAAACAATACCTCTCGCAGGTGTCGAACCTGCCACCTGCTGAACGCTTGAAGTCCGAGTCTTGTACTTGGACGGGCATTAAGGCTGTCTCCCTCATCCACCTGGCTTCCTGCCGTGTCTGAATTTATAAGCTTCTATCCCCTCTCAGCTATGTTCCTCAGACTTGAAGATTGCAACCTGTTTAGTTTTTCCATATTTGAAAGCATTTCCCTATGTATCATAATCATCTTTTTTCTAAGCTGCATTGCATCTGTTCTGAGATAATGACTACGGAAAGGGCATACATACCCTGCTCAAGCTGAAGGTTATGTGGATGTGCTCTGAACCTCCAGTTGTGTGGTTTTGACATTTCCAGGCAGTTTACAATGATTTTATTCTTTTGAAAGCTCTTTTTTACTGAGGAATTGATTTTCATTTGTGTTGTTCCTCTCCCTGAAATAAGCACATGTGGTATTTGTCATTCGAATGAATGTGTTGAGTCCACATACCTTGCAGTTTCTGTGACAGAGGAGCTGTTCTGCAGTCATGTTTCATACCAGGTTTGATGAACTAGTCACAGTCAAGTTTTAACTTCTCCTGTTACGCATTGTGTAACTTCCTGAAATGTTCATCAACGGTGGTTAAAAGCATAGATCTGGCATCATGCTTCTGTGTGAGTCTACCTGTCTGTACTGGGGGAATTGAAATCCCCTGGGTACTATTTTTACCCACTGACGGATGCCAGACCCCCTTTCCCAAAACCGTTCTGGGTAACTCCCCCCAGATATACTGGGCAGGCCATTCTGTGGTGTGGAATATCCCTTTGGTCAGCTCGAGTCACCTGTCCCGGCTATGCTCCCTCCCAGTTTCTTTTGCATACTTCCTCACTGGCAGAGCATGAGACAAGGAAAAAGTCCTTGACTTAGAATAAACACAACTTAGCAAAAAATCAAAACATCCGTGTGTTATCAACACCATTCGCATTCTAAATCCAAAACACAACACTGTAAGAGCATCTGAGAAGAAATTTACTCTACCCTAGCTGAAACCAGGACAACGGGACAGGATTTGGAGGTGGTAACACTTCCTTCATATTTCAAACAGTGATACAGTAGCCTTGGAAGGTATGACTTGGAAGGATGTGGCAGCAAGGAAACCAGTAACCTCGCTGTAAGTTGATTGCAAGTGCTAAACCTGTTAATGAACATATTCTTCAGTGTAATTAAGAGTAGTGTTGAGTGCAGTAAAATTGCATTACTAAAACAGAAGAATCAGAAACCTCGGCTTAGGTTGTGAGTTACGTTACATTTATAAACTTAGAGAATATGATAAGAACCACTGTGAAAATATTTTGCTTATTTCCATTCCTTACCAGCAGATTTTATAAAGGAAGATGTCCTTTTTCCCTAAAATCTCTTTCCAGTGTGAAGTTGAAGAGTATCTCACCAAAGTGTTCAGAAATAACGAGGTATGTGACATGGATACTACTAATCATCAACAAATAATCAAATTTTTTGTGTGACTTTAAGACCTTACAATAAAG